TTGTAAACAGTGGAGCCTGCAGGATAGGCTCTGATAATGTTGTCTCCAAATGATTAAGAGCTTTTTAACTAGCGTTTACTGTGAAGACCTGCAAACGAATGCGTTAGTACAGCCAGTACACTATAAAGTCACAAACATTTTTTAACTAGTAAATGAGCACTAAACACAACATAGTTCATAATGAGACACTGCGGATATTTTGCTGACTCAGACAATACCTGATGAGCTTTGAGTATTTGCAGGGAAATGGTTGTGTGCGTGTGAATATATACATATAGATAGATAGATAGATAGATAGATAGATAGATAGATAGATAGATAGATAGATAGATAGATAGATAGATAGATAGATAGATAGATAGATAGATAGATAGATAGATAGATATAGATAGATAGATAGATAGATAGATAGATAGATAGATAGATAGATAGATAGATAGATAGATAGATAGATAGATAGATAGATAGATAGATAGATAGATAGATAGATAGATAGATAGATAGATAGATAGATAGATAGATAGATAGATAGATAGATAGATAGATAGATAGATAGATAGATAGATAGATAGATAGATAGATAGATAGATAGATAGATAGATAGTAGATAGATAGATAGATAGATAGATAGATAGATAGATAGATAGATAGATAGATAGATAGATAGATAGATAGATAGATAGATAGATAGATAGAGATAGATAGATAGATAGATAGATAGATAGATAGATAGATAGATAGATAGATAGATAGATAGATAGATAGATAGATAGATAGATAGATAGATAGATAGATAGATAGATAGATAGATAGATAGATAGATAGATAGATAGATAGATAGATAGATAGATAGATAGATAGATAGATAGATAGATAGATAGATAGATAGATAGATAGATAGATAGATAGCTATATATATTCATATTCATACCACTTTCAGTGCGGTTACAGCTGAAAGCTTCATCTCAACCAGCTTTGATCACTGATGGAAAGTTTCACCCATTCTTCACATAAACAGATTTTGGGAAGAAAAAAAAATAAGTGATCATTCGTTATCCATTTTAAAGTTTTCCACAGAATATCAACTGGACTTTGATCTGGACTTTGATCTGACTTTGACTGGACCACTCCAGCATATCGATATGCATTGATCCAAATCTTTCATTGTAGCTTTGGACGCATATTAAAGGGTGTTGCCTGGCTGAAAAATGAACTTATGCCCCAGTATCACATATTTTGCACCTAGGATTGCCTTATATTTTTGCGGCTTCCTTTCAGCAACATGCAGGTTGTTGGTCAAACTACTGTACTGAGTTTGAAACTGATACATCCTATTTCATGAGCTAATAGTTTTGCGTATTATATGATATTTTAAACTAATCATAAATATTCAATTAAAGGGCAATATCTGGTTGAATTGCTCATTAGTGTTTCTTCATCGTTGACAAAGGGCTAAGCATACGTTTACTTTTCCAGGCCATGTAAGAGGACCGCATGACTCGAACTGTTTACTTTAGAAAGAGACAACATTTATCAATGCATTTTCAACCAACAATCAAATGTATTTTGACCAATAAAATTTATCAGCATGTGGTAGCATCAGCTAGAAAATGTGCATCTCTTTCCCCTCCATCGTTTGTGTCGCTGGTGTTACACATGCACCATAACTCCCCAACGAAAAAGAAGAAAGCAACAATATGTGATTACTGAAAAAAATTGCAAATATAGTAAACTCACAGTAACTTGCAACTTTAATCTGATTATTGGATTGCAAGTAGCAACGCGTTAAGAGTACACACTACAAGGGATCCGATTAGAGTAACGCGTTGATGACCACATTGTTTGCCATTTCTCCTCAAGCTATTTACGGATCTGTCAGGTTTCTGATATGAAAAAAAAAACATGCATGATTGTCTTTCCACTTCAATATTGTGGTTGTAACATACGAAAATTTATTCAAAGGGTAGGAGGACAGACAGCTCTTCTGTGTTTACAGCAATGTGAACATTGTTTTAACTTTTGGTCCATGACAGAAATGTCCTGGAAAACAAAACAAAAAAGTGCCACATCAAGGTTTGCAGTCATAGTCAGCCTCCATTTAAATGACGTAGCTCCAGTCCGACTTTCTGTCGGCATTTCAAGTTCTAAAGCCAAACACCAAACTATAAAGAATGTATAATAAATAGTATTTAAAAACTAAAAGGAGGTGAGGTTACACTCTGAGACTGAGATTCTCATTGAAACCAACTGGGCTGTGAGGATGTTTTAGAACAAACAAAACTAACTTTTTATGCTTTTAGTGACGTCTGAGAGTTGACTTGCTCTCAAGGACACATCTGCATGTTAAACCGCCGCGTACTGCTGGACCCACTGCTTGCAGCTTCAAAAAAAAAAAAAAAAAATCTGCTTAGCCAAGATGTGTTGCTGTAAATTATGGAGGTGAAGAAACAGAAGCCTTTTACTCCTTGAATGAACCAGAGAGTCTTTCCTGCATGAAGTCATATTTAAGGAGCGGAGACGGCCCTGATGCCGGTGACCATTTGAACACTTCTGATTCAACAAGTGAAGATCCAGCAGAGATCAGTGGCAGATTTCTGATTTTTAGTTTCTGCTACTGTGACCAGAATAATAATGGCAAAGACCCAGACCATCCATTAAGTAAATAAATAGTTCTAGTCATCCCATGAAACAGAGATTACAATACAATCGAAATAGTGTTAAAAATATCTTCTTTTTTATTATTATTTTCAACAGTTTGTCTGTTGTAAAATTTGTAGCATGACCATATTTTATTATTAATTGCTTACTTTGATTTCTGAAGTGAACGACGTCTCCACACAACTAGGGAACCACTAAACCAGTGATGTTCAAACTTTGTGTCATATGGGATAAAAAAAATTGAAAGAAAACCATAATTTTGTTAAAAACCATGAGGACAAAATTGTACATCTTTTCAACTTGCTCAACAATAAACTAAACATGCAATATTTTAATTAATCAAAGAAGTCAGATTTTTTTATTACAAGAAAGAGATGTTTAAATTAGATCCTTAATTTAAGAGTTTGCACATGTTCCTTGTTATAAAAAGGGAAGATTTTTGTGGACTTTTGAGTAAACATCTCTAGACGGATGTAGTTACATTTACATCAAATTAAAGAAAGTGACAAAAGAGTGGTTGTTAAAAAACAAACCCTATGTGCTGTGCCAAGCATGTTTCATTCTAAGATGAATTTGATTGTGTTGTATAATAAACATAAAAAGTTTCAATTAACTTGCTGTTCTGGTTGTAAAATTAAGTCCAAGGGTGAAACTTTGGACAGGAGTGAAACTTTCACCTCAAAAGATTTTTTTGTAAAGACTGCCAACACTCCTGGATCTGGCATGCTCCACGGCCAGAGGTCTAAAGCTCAAAGGAACAAACTGCAGCCAATTCGTTCAGTTATAAATTCAGCCTTCCTGTTAGCTGCTTAAGACGACTCTGACTCAACACTACCCCTCTTGGAAACACATCCAAGAGGGGTACAGACTGACTTCCTCTGGCAGATGGCTCTCTTTTCATTCTAAAAGGTCGGGTATGACCAAAATTACAAAACTACAAATTGGTGAAGGAGCAGAATGACCTGTTCCTCCCAAAGAGCCACTATACATATTGTAGCAACTGGAAAGAACAATCGACTTGAATCTGTAGCAAACACATTCACACTACTGGAAAAAAACAACAACTCAGAGTCTTATTCTCCCAACTCTGAAAACTTCCACACTGAAGAGGGTTGTGCTACCTCTTAAGGTATTGATAAACCTGTCTACCCATGAGAGCAAGCAGCTTGAACTTGATGAACTAACACATCTGCCTATTCATACAATCTTGCAGCTAGGATAAACAACTGTGCTCCACTCAGAAAGATATTGTTTGACTACAGCCTCTTCAACAACATGAGTGTGCTGGTTTTAGCGCTGCTTTCTCAGAAGAGAAAAAGAAAAAAGTACTTAAAAGAAAGAATAAAGTGATATCCCAGGAGAGCATCAAGGAAGTTTATGTATCCTTGTTGCTAATGAGAGATAAATTACCCACATTTGAAAAACAGCAAATTTCTCAATATTCAATATCTTAAGAAAAAAAAAAAAAACACCTTAATGTAACTTGTCTTTTTTTAAGATCTGCTGTGAGTCTGGTACCACCCTTGTATTGGGACTATTGCTGCCGTTGATGGCAGGAGTAATTAATGCCATCAGAGCCAAAATGATGCCATTTACCTAAAACTGTGCAGCCATAGCAGAGTTGTGGTGGTCCAGAGTTGGCATCGACAAATGACCTGATAAACATCAGGTCATCTTCTCAACCAGCGGTTGAGAAGACTGAGATATGTTAATGAGACAATTACGGTGGGTCAGTTTCTGACTGGGCAGTCAAGATGACAAATCGTCCGGTTTTGGTCATCAGCCAATTTCTAAAAAAAAAAACAAAAACAAAAGAACAAGGCGTATAAAAACCTGATTGTGATCTTGAGCAACTTTAATGGTGTCAAACCTTAACTGGTTAAAACAATGATCGGAAATGTCATAACGGAGCCTGGCGGGTTCTATATAACATGCATGTTATTAATCACCGTCAGCCAAACTTTACCTGCATCACATCATCATCTCCAGTGACCAATCTCTGAAACACACTCACTTTCATCCCTGAAAGGCCTTTTGAGAGCCACTACTGATAGAAGACTGTGTTCTCTGGCGAGTATTGAACCACTGATGTCAGGTCCACGCAGCAAATAACGACATGGGGGGGAGAAAATGCTGCCATGTGAAGAAAACAGGGCCTAGTTAAAACCTATCCACTGCTGGCTGTGGGTGATCTATTTTAACAGCGCCGTTTGCGTTTGGTCGTGAGATCATGACGAGGTAAATGAAGCACTGAAGGCCTCTGAATGTGCACACGAAGGCCACTGGGACACCTTACGGTCCCTGTTAAAAAAAATAAAAATAAATGTTGGATTTTTGCTTACAAATAAGCTGCTGCACCACCGGACTCCTCTTTCCTCTGCGTGGAAAGTTCTCGCTGCATTTCTATTTCCTAATCAGCAGCATTGCAGCGAAATATATGTCTGCGGCAAAAAATAAATAAATAAATAAAATGAAAATAAAAAAACAACACCCCCTTCGTTCCACCCTGGCTTTCTAATTAAGGTTTAAACAACAAGGAAAGGTAAAGACGGAGCAGCCAAACGTCTCCACACCCTGCAGCCCTTTTTTTCATTCGAGCACCATTACACGGCGTTATGTCATCGTAAACAGGCGCAGGTCCTCGCGAGTGAAAAAATTCGCTCGACTGCCCTTCGGTGCAACGCGATGCTGCAAAAAAAAAGAAAAAAAAAAAACACTCCCTGCGCCGTTCTTCCATCTCCAAGCCTTCCTTCCTTCCTGGGCCTCGTGTTCACCAGACCTGGCTGACAGACAGAGTGCTTCCCCCCAGTGCACGAGCAGATGATTTCATCTGAGGAGGTTTTTGCCTGGAGACAGAGCACTGCGCAGTGATGTGGGACACACACACACCCACACACACACACATAGAGAGAAAACATAAATCCTACAAGGAGGACAGCCTTGTGGAAGGCTCTGGCTTCTCATGTCGTACATGTTCGGATGTGGGGGGGGGGGGGATAATAGATTCAGGTTTATTTGAGTGTGTGTGTGTGTGTGTGTGTGTGTGTGTGTGTGTGTGTGTGTGTGTGTGTGTGATGGTAGGGGGGGGGGGTGAGGGGGGGGTTCCGTTTCGGGCACTTACCTTCCCTCGCCTTCAGGAGAACCGTGTTGGCCACGATATTTTCAATCTCCATTGTCAGAACGTGAATCCCGTGCAATGTCGATACATTTCACTCAGCAGGAGAAAAAAAGAAAAGAAAAGAAAATAAAGAAAGAAAAGACGTTTTTTTGTTGTTGTTTTTTTTTTTCTCTCTCCCCCAGATCAAAGGTGCCGACGGCCGCGAGGCTGTTGCACGCGCACAGGGCGAACGCGGCACTGGCGCATATTAGGACTCAGTTAGCGCTCGTCGGTCCTTTTCAGTCCCATATGTTCGGTGAAAAACCCGAGCGAGCCTACGGAGCTTTACGGTTACAGCGGAGCTTGTTAGCATTCACCGCCTGCCTGCCTGCCTGCCCGTCTTCCTTCCTGCTCCGGTTCCCTCCTCCTCCTCCTCTTTTTCCTCCTCCTCCTCCTCACCCCTCCTCTGCGCAGCAAACCAGGGGAGAGTAGGAGGGATCAATTTACAACCACCGCAGCCACCACACATTCAATCACAAGAGCATTCATACATACATGCATGCATTTCCTAAGCTCTGTTTCTGAAACGATTGTTACTGGACAATCGTGTCTGACTCTGAACACACACTCATATTCCATACTTCCACAGGCTGCATTTGGTTTGAAACAGAGTGGCTTTTCATCAGCTCTGCCTCCTGTCATTTTAGAAGTTACACATTTGAGCCAAAACTTTTATTCAGCATCTAAATGCAGCCCCTGGCTTGATTGCGTCTTTGACGAAACCTGTGCTGATGACACACAACATTTGTTTTTGTTTTTTCCTTCACCGGTTGTCTGCAGTCCCTTGTGGTTGTGGTGGTGGTTGTCTCGAGTTTGGCCATGTCACGCTTTTTCTGTCTTTTTTGGCACAGTATGATGCCATCCTCCGTGGGAGTCCAACCAATGCGTCAGTTCACCCACAAACAGAATGTTTGGTACCCACTGTGAAAGAACAATGGAGTGTTTAATGACAGTCTAAAATAAGAAAGAGCTGGGATCCCAGTAAATAGGAACAGATAGAAAACATCTGCAACGAGATACCTCCAATTTGCTGCATTTGTTAAGAATCTACTGTCCTTGACTAGAATCAAAGTTTGTAAAAAAAAAATTTGGTACAACTGAATTGTAATGTGCATGAATATTATTATTTTTATCATCTTTTATCTCCCTAATCAATAAGATTACAAAGTTACAACCAATAACACACTGATTGGTAATGGCTTGGGTGCACTGACACAAAGTGGTTTGTTTGCAAGTACAAGATTAATAGGAAGGGATGAAAAGGTGATGTATGGTTACAAAGCCACTGGAGGCTGGGTTTAAATTATTTCATAACCTGGAGAAGGCTATGATATAATTGTTCATATAATTGTTCACATATTAAGCCACTTGATTTAATATAGAGTGTAGTTTCCTTTGGCCACGATATTGTGAGTAGGTTTGAACTTGGATCAACATTTTCACAGTAACTAAAGTTCACTGCTTATTCAGCCTGCCGCTACCTTTAAACCTGTTCAAGAGTTAGAGGATTCAATTGGTGACAGAAAAAAGTACAGGATGTTTTTTTATGTTCAGTAGCTTATTGTTGTCTGTTGTCGCAAGGTAAGGAGACCTCAGGGCGAACACAGAACCTGTTGGAGGTAAAGTACACTCACTAGACACTTAGGCAGTACCAGGTTGAACCCCTTCACCCGTCAGAAGCACCTTAACCTTTTATGGCACATTCAAAAAGGTTTCATAAATATTATGAACATTCTACAAATAAATGAGCTGATCATGAGAATCTGCTGTTTCAAGAAACCATTCTGAGATGATTGTCACACAGTATTTGGGCCTGATGAAAGTAGCCATAAGAAGATGGCTGCACTGTGGTTATAAAACCAACAGCGCTCAGGTAGCACTTAAACAATGGTTGACTGGTTCTAAGGAGTCCAAACCAGCAAATTATTTGCCACACAATCACACCAACAGCACCAATCTGGGCTGTTAAGAAAATGGATCTGTTCCTTTATGATATCTATGGCTTATTCTGAGCACAAGGCCTGTTTCTTTGCAGCTGAAAATGATACTCATGAGTCGGTGACGTTTCTCCAGTTGGTTATTGTCCAATTTTTTGGAGTCAGTTTGGTGTTTGTGGCTTGTGCTATTTGCACACCTCGTGGTCTTCTCTTGCTGTAGCTCAACTGTGTGTTTTACATGTTGAATTTGTCTTACTTTGCTTGTAAAAAAAGGGGGTAATTTGTGCTTACGTTATGTTTTTAGATTTTAAACCTGTCTTTAAAAATGATTTGCTAACACGAGACCAAGATACTTAACAAATATCTTAATGATGCTTTTGGAAAATTTCTGGAAGTGTCAATGGAGCTTTATTATACAAACTGTCCAAGAACTTTATATAAAATAGAAAAATTTTATTCTCCTACAAAAAGATTACAAAAGGCCTGCAAGAAGAAAATATGATTTGTAAAAAAATCTTAACATTAAAAACTAGAGGAGCAGAATATAAAGAAAGAAATGCAATAAATGAATCAGTATTTTAAGAATATATGAAAAATAATGTTACAAGAAAATATTTAGTGAAAATAAGTACACCATTAAGAAAATGTAGACTATTATGAATTGTACTATTTAAAAAATAGCTCAGATATGATTGAGTATCCAAAATATTCCATCATTTATATAAATATCCCTGCATTTAATGTCAGTAGCAAGATTTTTAAGTATTTCTTTGAAATTAAATTTTTTCCTTTACTTTTTATGTCAGTTTTTATTGACCATTTTATGTGAAAACATTTGAATAACACAGTTTATCTTTATAACATGAACATTGTAAAAATAATCTTGTGCTTTATGCCGTAACGAAATCATCTAGAAAGGTTAAAAATCACCCATGTGTTTGTACAGAATTCGCAGTTGTTACATCAGGTTTTATTGGCAAGAGACACAAATGACGTTATGCCCAAGATACACGTTGAACAACACTGGCTCTGCTGTTGGACTTGTGGTTGTTGTGCATCCTGTGGAAAAGAGACACAGAGTTTCTTTCCAGTTCACGTTTCTGCATCCTCTGGGCTTTCCCACCCATCCCCTGTTGAATGCCTCCACCTTGTGGTGATACTGCAAAAACACAAAAAGTCATCAGACTTTGTAGGCCTCCAACATTGCTACAGTTTTACTGAACTTTATGGCAAAATGGCTCCCAAAAAGTGTTTATATGCATATATGGAATATAAATATGAAGACAGTGTTTCGGTGACAAAGAAAATGTCAGACTTTGTCTTCAGGGAAAAGTGACACTGTATTATCTGCAGGTTTAGTCAACAAAACGCTCAGTCTTTGTTATTCGAGATTCGATCATGAGTTTTACTCCATGATTTTATAAGATCTGCTTGTTGGAAACCTGGTCATTTGGTTGAATTAAAGGTGCAGTGCTATGTTTGCAACGCAGCATTTCTATAACAACTGAAGGCAACGTTGATCTAGCAATAAAATCACTGGAAAATACATAATAAAATTTTTCCCACATAACAGAAATTTATTTAAAAACTCCTTGTTAAAAATCTTACTAAGGATGTTCTTGTCTCATATCTAAATTGTTCTTGTCTCATATCTAAATTGTTCTTGTTCTTGTCTCATATCCAAACAGGTTTTTGCTGCACTCTTGGTAAAACCGATGAAGAGGAAAGCATGCATTCCTCTGAGATCTGTCTGGCTTGGTGCTGGAGGTGTTTCTCTGTAAACAATGGCTGCATATAACATCTCTGACAACGCACTGGAGGTCACTTTGGTCAAAGTAATATAATCTGCAGAAGCCCACCAGCTAGTTGTGGCTTGACTTAATGTTCAAGCGAAACACAATCTTTTCAAACATTTTTCATCAATTCTGACTGAAGTTTTGGCTAATTTGCCCAAAAGGAATGGGGAAACAATTCAATCTGATGTGCAAATGAAAGACATACCCAGACTTGCAGCTTCAAAGGTGGTTCCACAAAGTACAAACTAAGGCTGAAAACCAATTCATGTCACACATTTCAAACGTTCTTTAAAAAAATAAAAAATAAACTTTTGTATACTTTTTTCTGTTACATCACAAACATGCACAACGCTGTGCTGACATAAAATCCCATACATTGAATGTTTTGGTAGCAAAGTATGAAAAGCTTTGTGTACCAAGGAACCATAAACAGGAAAGAAGTGTGACAATTAAAAATATATAAGCAGAATACTTCTTCCTAGCAATGTAAACACTTAAAAGCAGAATAGAAAATATTCACAACAAATCTCAAGTTTTTACAGAGATTTTTTTTTTTTTTAGGAAATTATATAAGGCCATTTTTTTTTTCTCTTTTTCTTGGATGTTTTTAGCTTCGTCTACCACAAGTTTGTAGCTAATTGTTGATGAATGTTTCTACACTTCTTCAAAATAACAGAGGGTTGTTCAGAGAAACTTTTTTGGACTGTAAACTAATAATGTGATCAAAAGTGTGTGTGTGTGTGTGTGTGTGTGTGTGTGTGTGTGTGTGTGTGTGTGTGTGTGTGTGTGTGTGGTGTGTGTGTGTGTGTGGTGTGTGTGTGTGTGTGTGTGTGTGTGTGCTTCCGTGTGAGTTTTCACGTGACCTCCCACAGAGCCAGTGCACCTCTGCAAGCAGTGGCTGCTTCTGAAAGCAAAAGGAAACACGGCGATCAGCGGGTCTCGGAACCTGTTTACATTTGAACAACCAGCAGCTTTAGGTTCCCAGGATGTTTTCTCTTGGGGAGACCATGGAGTTTCTCCTCGGAAATCCATTTTCAACGCCCGTCGGACAGAGAATCGGTGAGCTATTT